CATTCACATGAGATATTAGGCACTGCAGGAAGCTCAGGTACTTCGGAATTTTTGGATAGTTTTGATAAAACAAGGGAGTTATTAGGATGCTTAACTTCACAGAGGGTTTCAAATGGTTGCAAGGATAGTTTAGATCTTAATGATTCCAACCAGCTGGATTGGGTTTCAAGCGAGTCAGTGTTGAGCTTGGATCATTCGTCTTCACGGGTTTCTTCTCCTAGGATTAAGGATAGCAACAAAGGACCTGCTTGTGAGGTAAGACGAATTCTGGTTGTAACTTTTCGTGATATTGAATCAGATGAGGGAGATTTTGATGAGGAATTAAGTCGTTCTGAACCTGAAGTTTTCCGACCAAAAAGAGAACCTGAGGTTAAGGCAAGGAAGGGAGCATGCTATCGATGCTCAAAAGGAAACAAGTTCACTGAAAAGGAAGCCTGCATCGCTTGTGATGCTAAGTATTGTAGTAATTGTGTGCTCAGAGCAATGGGGTCTATGCCGGAAGGAAGAAAGTGTGTTACATGCATTGGATATCCTATTGATGAAAAGAGAGAGAACTTGGGGAAATGTTCTCGAATGCGCAAGAGACTGCTCAATGACTTGGAAATTCAACAAATATTGAAGGCTGAAAAGTTTTGTGAAGCTAATCAATTGCCACCAGAGTATGTTTTTGTGAATGGTAAGCCTCTCTATCAGGAGGAGCTGGCTATATTGCAGAGTTGCCCAAACCCACCAAAGAAGCTGAAACCAGGACATTATTAGTATGATAAAGTATCTGGTCTTTGGGGAAAGGTGAATGCAATATCCTTGAGACATTTTATGTGTGATGGGGTTAAACACAACCATAAAATGATCAACAAACAATCACACACACAAATAAGATACAAATATTTACGTGATTTGGCCCAATGCCTACATCCATGGGAGGAAATGAGAATGCACTATAAACAGAGTAAAAATACAAAAGAGAGGAGGAGTCTCCCACTCTCTCTACTCAACGCACAACTCTCTCATACTCTCACAACTCTCTTTTCTTCACACTCTAATATATCAACTCAGCTCACAGCCCTCCCCATTTATACACAAATGGGAGAGCCAAAAAATCAACACTTGCCTGCCAACAACCAACCACCAGAATAAATGGCAAGCTATGAACACAACCACCTTACAAGAGGATAGTCTGAATTTGCAGCCTCCATTCTTGACTTTCATAGCCAAGTTCATATGGTGTGGATACTCAACATTATGTTGGTACTATTGTTATTCATTTGTTGCATTGTCGTGGAACTTGATGGTTCTTAACTTCTGATAATTTTAACAAGGACAGAAGCCTTACAAAATTATTAGCGCCCATCTGAATGTTGGGGGTCTCGTCAAGGCAGATGCTAGCAATTGAAACACACAAGTTTTTATAAATGGTCAGGAGATCACAAAAGTAGAGCTACGGATGTTACAGGTTCATATGTCTAATCCACATGCATATATTTAATATTAATGTGTTGAACATTGTAGCTGGCAGGGGTCCAATGTGCTGGAAACCCACACTTTTGGGGAGACGAGGATAGTTCATACCAGGAAGAGGGACAGAAAAATACAAGAGGGTATATCTGGGGTAAGGTGTGTATCAATGTCCATATACTTCTGCATCTTTCTAACCACACCAAAAAAATAAATAAATAAATGAAAATAAAAGTAAAAAGAAAAAAGAGCACTATTTTGTGTTTTTTTAGTTAAACCTAGTTAACTTTCAGGCTGGTACAAAGCTGGTTTGTGCTGTACTATCCCTTCCTGTTCCTTCCAAGTCTGCAAATCCTTGTGGAGAACAGGTGAATAATCTGGTCAGCCAAGCTGTGCCTGACTACATTGAGCAGAGAACCCCCTTTCAAAAACTTCTTTTAATTGGATACAGTGGGTCTTGGACTATATTTAAGCAGGTACTTTCCTAATGGGGCCATTCAAGTTTCTTGCTTACTCCATGTTGTTCCTTACTTATTTTATTATTCATTTATACATAGAATAAAAGATGTTTTAATTCTTAGTTTTTTAATTTATATTTCAATTATTTATAACTTCTTTCCAATAATGCATTTTTTGTCCTAAAGAATAAATTTGACAAATTAGTTAATTTAATTAGTAAAAACTCATTTATTAATGAATTCTATAATAACTCAACATACATAAATCACTTTCATTTTAACCATAACCACTTGTGCATAAGTATTGTTATTGATACGAGTCATTTTTTTTTCTCCTTTTTGATCAGCGATATGATAGTTGTCATCCTACGGAATGTGTGATTATACTTGCTAATTTATTATCTTTGGACATTAATTACAGGTGGATGACAATGATGCTGGTTTATATATTTTATTACGGCCACACTGTTTAAAATTTGTTTCCATTTTCTTTAATTTTAATGAAGCCATGTTGGCATTGGTTCTACACTAAATTGACTTGATCTTTTAAATTATGTCTTTTATTGGTCCAACGCTTTGGACATCGCCACCGGGATCATTGAGACCCCACGAAGACAGCTCTCTGTCACAGGGAATACGTGGTATTCATTAGCGAGCATCTGGTGCTGGCAAAGCCCCCCAAAATTGGTGTATTTATTAATATAAATTCTTGTGATAGGCCAAGATCCTTTGTAAAGATGTCCCTTTGTCGGGAGATGAACGTGAGAATATCAAATTACTGATCCAGAGCAATGTGTATGGCTACCTTGGTATACTCCTTGAGGGCCGTGAGTGTTTTGAGGATGAAAGTTTGAATGAAGCAAGGAAAAATCAGTTTTCTGATGCATCTGGTTCCTCAGTTAGCAATTTATTATCACATAGATATGGTTATTCTCTTATATTACCGACAATTTTTACATGTCTTATCCGATTCTTATATGTCTCAAAATATTCTCTGGTTGACAACAGGGAATAGTGATGTGAATGATGGCAAAACTATGTATTCCATCTGCCCAAGGTTGAAAGCATTCTCTGATTGGCTTCTCAAAGTTATGGCATCAGGTAATTTAGAAGCAATTTTCCCAGCTGCTACTCGGGAATATGCACCATTAGTTCAGGAGCTGTGGAACAGGCGACTTACAGCCGGAGAAGTGAGTTGGAATTGCTACCTAGTGTTGCTAGTTATTTCTTAAGGGGTACTTACGTGTAAGGCCAAGTTTGGCATACACAAAATAATCCGTCTTTTTATTTTTTTATCTTTTTTCCATCACATCACCTCTCTACTTTTCTGTACATTTTTTCGTAAAAAGACAAAAAGTGTACTTATTTAGGTCTTTTTTTTTATTCAATGGAAATTCAAGAGAACAAGAGTTTGAAGTTAAAACCTCTCAACACTAACTCCAGTACATAAACTAGAGGGCTAGTAGTACATAACTCCTTTTTCTTCCTTCAACATATTTCACCACCCAAAATCTCCTCACCTTTTTCATTTCTCCAGTGTGTTCTCTTTGATGGGACAAGACAAGATGAAAACTATATTTGTCATATCTCATGCATGACATGATGAGTAGATGACAATCCCTTATTGACTAAATGAGCCGAACTTAAGCAAGCTGAGTTCAGTCACGAGGGGCCTGAAAGTTGGGCCCAGACCCAGCTTGTTCACTCAGACAGACATTCTTGAATAAGTTTATGTAGATGAGTACCAAGATGTTTATGAATTGCTTGGTTCATCTGCACCCATAGTGGATATGGACTGACTCTAACCCAAGACCTCTGCTTCCTGCCACCACTTTTCTTTACTGCCACCACATTAAAAATCGCTTGAAACTGTAGAGTTTTATGTGTTCAAAATGAAACCACATGGAATGAAGGGGAATTCAGATGCAACTATTAGGGAACATTGGTGCAACTTATTCTTATTTCAGGCTTTTGTTTTCCAAGAAAATATGCAGGCATGAAAATTGGCATTATTGATGGTTGTGTCATAATCCTTATCCTTTTCAGGCAGATGATATATTGAGACTAGACTATGAACCTTCAGATGTGGATATCATATTCGCTGAGGGATACTCTTGCTTGTTTGGATTTCTCATTTCCCCAGTGAGCACATGTCATCGACACTGACACCGCTGATCAGCTTTGATTCTTTGCTCAGGTTGGTACTTAAGTTTCATGCTTCTTCCTGTGTTGGAATTTGATGTCAGGTTTTGACAGGTGTGTGTAATTACTTGTGACATAATTTTACCTTTTCTTTGGTTCCCACATACCAACTAATTAGAGTGCAAGCCAGAGGGTTTGGGAAAGCTGCAAGTGGTTAGAAATGCTTGAAGATGTTCGAATAGTCATTTTCTGTGTTGCCCTGAGTGATTATGACCGGTATGCTATTGATGGAGATGGAACTCTGGTGAACAAGATGTTACTAACCAAGAAATTCTTCAAGATCAGTTACTCATCCAACCTTCGATCAGATGGACTTCCTTCTGATACTCAACAAATTTGATCTGTTTGAAGAGATGGAACAGATTCCTCTGACACACTGACTGGTTTGATGATTTTGATCCAGAGATGAGCCTTCATAACTCCACCATCAACAGCAGCAATAGTCCCTCATTCAGCCAGCTGGCTTTTCATTATATTGCAGTTAAGTTCAAGAGGCTGTATTCATCTCTCACTGATCGGAAGTTGAATGTTGCTTCGGTAAAGGGTTTGGATCCTTGAAGTGTTGATGAAACTATTTACGCAAGTGGGATTCTGAAGTGGAATGAAGAGAGACCCAACTTCAGTTTGAGTGAGTACTCAATTTACAGCACCGAGGGAAGCTCTTTCTCTCATTGATGACAACATCATAGAGGCTTGCAAATGGACTAATACTATTAACAATCATCATTGTTTGTGTACATAAAAGGGTGTTTAAATGAACAAGAGGGAGGTTTAATCGTAGGATAATAAGCCGCTGTTTTTTTTTTTTTTTTTTTTGGGGGGGGGGGGGGGGGGAAGAGAAATATCCCTGTATTTTGTGATGGTACAAATGCAAAGCCAGCAAAATTCTAAAAGCAACTGTATTAACTTTCCTCCAGTGTGCTTGAAATTTCAGTCATCTACAAAACTATATCGAGCTTGCACTTGCGTGCTCAATAAAATGTTTTTACAAGCCCAGCTTAACCCTAACATCTGTTCATTCACCAAGTTAAAATCTCGCTGTGCAATTCACTTGCTGTCTTCAATCAACTGAAACCAATGCCTCGAAACTGAATCTGAATTGTCAGGAGCTTCTAAAATGCTCTCCCACTTGCAGACACTTGATAAAATAGCCTTGCGGATATGGCACGCCTACATGATAACATAAATACATCACATGAGATTAATCATAATTGGCATATACCCATTTGAAGTTAGCCCAAATTGCTGAGCAACAGGCAACATGGTTGTTTAGTCCAGCAACATCTATTGGCTATTTCTTAATAAATGCAAGCTTGTGCAGTGCAGCGAATTAGCAAAACAGGATCTTCTACCTGCAACAAAACCATGATAATATGTGCCAGCCCCTTCCCGCACACAAAGGAGAATGCCTTGCTGTAAATCATCAATTGTAAAGAAAGAAAAAAAAAATAAAAATGGTTAAAGAGTAAGAGTCCGCAAATAACTATGGGAGAGTCCAACCAAAAGCTTTTTTCATAATATACTCACTTGCCAGGTTTTTGCCATTCCACTGCAGAGGATCTCCAGACATATGAAATAGAAGTCTTCATTATTCAAAGATTGCATAGTCATCATCGACAACCTTGGTAATTGACTTTTGGGGTTTAAGCAACCAATTCTTATGGGCCACGATCCTCTGCCTAATCCAAATCTCACTAAATGCCGGTATCCAATTCTAAAGCACCCCATATAAAAGCAATAAACATATTTATGGAAAAATTAAGGTGCAAGTGTAAGATTTCTAAACAACCTGTCTATTAGATTGAATTAATTTGAACAAAGAATACATACATCATTTATATAGAGTACCACTAATTCCCTAACCCTACATGAATACATTACTGAGATATATAGAAGTCTAATAAACATAGGACACTGATTCCTAATCTGAGGAGAACACATTCTCACAGCAAGACCTCACCTTTGTTCCACATGAAATCAATACCTTCCTCTTCACTCACATCTGCAGGTGAAGGGATACATACATCCCAACTGAATCCAGGTATTAATTATAATCTCAAGCCTATCCTGACAACGAGAAATGGATAATAAGATGCAATACCACAAAGCATTCTAAAGAGAATACAGACATTTCTTTCATCCCTGAAACAATGGAGCATTGTTGGAGAATATGTACTCCAACGGTGACTCATTTCCAAGAACATCGCACAAATGAGTTGGGGAATTTGTTTCTGTGGGTGGTTTGAAGCAAGCAATGGCACAGTAAAAATGATGTGGTTTGTTGCAGGCAATGGCACAGTAATTACTGATTACCCATTGAAACTGGTTTAGAATTTTGATAGCAAGACAACCAAAAAAAAAAGGGTTGATTAATGAAGAAGAAAAAAAGCAAGAGAATGTAATGTATAAACAAGTTATCTAATGGAGGCGTGACATCCAAACATTTTTAGGAATCCATGAATAAAACATTTTTCGAGCATTAGCTTGTCAGGCACAACTTACCTATGGGAGACTAAAGCCAAAAACTTGAGATAGTACATGAGGGGAACTCATCAAATAGGGAGCAAAATTTACGTTCTTTAAAAACCCGAAGTAGTCTCAATATGTGAGCAACACCTTTATTGAAGTTCTCATATACACGCCCAATAATGTCAATAGTGTTAGGTTTTTATTCTTAGCAACCCTAGTTGACAAAATTCCTTTAAGTTGTATTTATTTTCGCACTTTTTATTTCAGTGAAGCTATAAGTGTTTAGATGCAAATCCAACCCGAATTGTGCCTTACAGAGAAGTTTGTGATGTTAATACTTTCAAGATTGCCACTTCGCTGATTATAACGGGGATCGAGCTGCCTGGTCAGCTCGCGGGGGTCGAGGGGGCAGTGCCCAGGCGGGGTCAAGGGACAGCGCCCCCGAAGCAAAATGCAAAATGCAAAATGCAAAATGAAAATTACATTCAAAGTTGCCTGTCTGCCCTTGCTCGCTCTCGCTCGAGCGAAGGAGTCCTCGCTCGAGCAAAGACCGCGTCTGGCAAAAAACCTGAAAGAGATGAATGTGCGCTTGAGCGAAGCTTGCGTGGCTCAAGCGAAGCCACTTATGGAAAACACGCGTTTTTGGTTCCTCCCTCGAGCGAGAGAGTCTTCGCTCGAGCGAGCATCGCAATTCAGATTTCTATAAGTACGGGTTTCTGTCAGATTTTAGGATGACTTCTCCAGATCTTCTTTTTGGATATTAAGGTTTATCTCTGGAGATATTTTGCTAGTTTTCTTTGATGTTTCGATTGAGTATTCAACTCATGATTTTAGAAGTTTATATCAAAGGATTGTTTGTTTAATTCTATACAAAAGAGAGAGTTGTTCTTCTGTGGATTCTGAAGAATACGAGCCTGAAACTTTGGTGAATTCTAGAGTGGCTCATCGTCAAGACAATTCCGAGGTGAAGACGGGGTTGGAAGAGACACATAAGGGTTGGTTCAATTCGGGCGTGGATTCGCTAGGTAATTGAGAATATACTTGTATAATTCCTTTATATCTTCTTAGTGGATTGTTTTGTGGCTGTTGCCCGTGATTTTTTTATCGCAATTGGAGGTGTCCAATTGTGGTTTTTTCACGTAAAATCGTTGTGTCGATTTGTCTTGATTGTTTGATTGGGATTGTTATATACTACTTAAAATTGATACATAATCACAAATCAACATCTAGGGGATTTCTAGATTTTTCAAATAGAATGACTGTTAGTTTGGTACAAGCATAAAAGACCAACCTTAGTTAATGTCTGCAGATGTATATGCTTCAAACCTTGATAAATTCCAATGAGGTCGATTGCTGAGAAGATTGGGTACACGACAAAAGGCAAACTTGCTTGCAACCTTTCATATTAATGAAAAATTATGAGTTAGGGAGCCAAGTAAAGCATAAGTGCCATCATCACATCAGCAAATTGGATACATCACATCAATTAAAAAGTCATAAATTTTTTATACCTTTCAAACACATATTCATGGGGAGCACAGGTAATATAAAAGAGAAAATTTTAGCAAACCAATCAATATTAGACATATTGCAATATAATGTAAACAGGGGAAAAGAATTCTACAATGTCGAATTGCAGCAGTAAGACGTACAATATGGTCAACTTAGCTATCACAAAAGGCTGGGACGATCATAGAATATCAATTTGAAGAAGATTAACAGTGGCACTATGGAACTAATTTAAAATCTGAAAATGAAAAGTAAATACCTTAGATTGTTTCTGAACAAAATGTTCAAGGCTGCAGCAAGCATAAGACCAAGGCTATCGAAGCACACCGTTTGAATCTGAAACCCAACCAAAGATCATTTCAGTTTATATAAATAAGATACTAAGCACAATACATTGAATATGATAGGAAAATCCATAACCTGTGCCTTTGCAGAAACTTCACCAAGATTATCTGCTACTGCAAAACTTCGATGAACAGCAGTCTACAAATCCAAATATGACAACATTTAGACTCCATGTAATAAGGTGAAAGCCAACTTTATGATTATCCAACAAATAAAATTCTGAACGTCAGACCGCTCAGAATTAGAATTTATCTAAAAATCCTTGAGGAATGAAGCATTTGCAACTAAAAATCAGCTGAAAACATTCATATCATATCATTAACAACTAAAAATCCTTGAGGAATGAAGCATTTGTATTGACACTGATGGGAAGGCAATAACTGTCCTGTGAAATACATATATGAATGTCCAAGAAAACTTTTCAGAAGAAATAATTTAACAGACTTAATAGAAAATGTTGCAGGGAACAAAAAAGTTGTTACACAAATTGATGAGGTTTTAGACTGACACCAGTTGCCAGGCAGCATGCTAGACTTATTTGTTTAGCGATGTTTGCTATAGATGCGACAAGCAAGAGGTACTGGGGAAAAGCAGGAGTCAGCAACTCAACCCCAATGCTCAGACTGAATAGCACAGATGTTGAAAACCTAACTCTCTACAAAGGAGAACATAATTAATTAACAATTTACTAAAAATCTAGTTATCGAATTATAGGGAACATACTCTGCAATGTCTTGCTTTGTAATTCTTTCGCAGTTACCAATTTGGCCACTCCATAATATTGTATTTCAGATTTTCCAGTATTTCTTTTGGAATATAGAGAGTATTTTTTCTCCGAATCTAAGTAATGAAGTGTGGTAATTGGTACATCATATAAAAGAATTTTTTTGTCCAAATTCAAAAATGAACTGTGGCTATTAGTAACTGCAAGACATGCCCAAAGAAATGTGTAAAATTGTAATTGCAGACATAGAGTGTATGTGACCCCTCATTTTGGTAGGAATGGAAGTCATACGTTCAAATTGGTATCAAAAGAAGATGCTAGGCTAGCAGTGTAGCTGCACCTACTAAGCCTGCCAAGCCCATCTTTCAAGACCCAATTCAGGGCAGCGGCTGATGGAAGTGAACGAGAGTATCCATTTCCAATTGCTTGAAACATTGCCTAAGAGTAACCCATTTGCATACAATATGCGATCACATATTCTAATTCATCAACAAGAATGAAAACATCTGCTTTCTGTTACCTGAAGCTGAACTAAACACTCAAACTAATCAAACCTTAAAATTACAAATGTAAATTCATAAATACATGTGAAGCAATGCACAAATATTTCATTGGTTTGCCGACCAAAGAGAGATGTTATATTGAACCATAGAAACCCCAATATGGAACCATCTATTTTGACAAAGGCTATCTGCAGAATTCCAATAATCATCCAATGTTCCACAAAGTATGCATCATCCAACACTAAAACAACAATGCAAAATTTCTTTCTACTTACATATATATATATATATTCACAGGAATGAACAGAAGTTACTTGGGTGGCAAGAACCTGAAGAGCATAGCTGAAGAACCTGTGCAAGAACTTCCATTTGACATACTCCAAATAATTCTCACTAACTTCCCGGGGCAGAAAAAAATTTCTCAAACACGAACTACATATTCTAAACAATCTTCGAAACCCAGCGACAAAGAAAAAGAATTTCCGTCTACAGAAACCAATTTTAATTCACTCCCATCCCACAGGTACCTAGAAACGCTGCCGGAACGTCGAATTACGACCGGAAGGCGTGCCGACGAGGCGGGTTCATCTGATTTGTCGAGTTTTTCTTCTTCGAATTCGTAATCGAAAGAGGTTTTCAAGGAGTTCGAGAGAGTCAAGGGTTTAAGAGAGGGTGCGGGTATAATGGGTAGGGTTTGTGAGGGACTGAGAGTGTGGATTTTGTGTGGTTTCCATGGGGAGTGGAAGATTGGTGGACAATTGGAAGCAATGTATAACGTGGATTACATGAGAATCGACAAAAACACAAAACTTTGATATCCATCTATGTATCTACTATCTATTATCTATCGAATCCGGATCACCGTCGCCTTCCCCTGCCGCCTTCTTCCGTCGCCCCCAAAACCACGTCGTTTTGGGGGTAAATTTTCAAAAAAAAAAAACGGCAGAGAAGACGGGGGAAGGAGAGGAAGAGGGTGAGGGAGGAAGGAGGGAGGAGGGAGGAGGAGGAGGAGGCTGCGAGCTCGCCGTCCTCGTTCCTCGCCGCCGTTGCAGCCGTCGCAGCAGCTCCACCTCGTCGCAGCACCTGCGACCGTCGTTACCTCCGCCTCCGACCCGTCTCCACCTCCTCCTCCTTCTCCCCTGTATTTATGGCCCCCTCCAGTCCGACCCTCCTCCTCCTCCTCCTCCTCCTCTCCTTCCTCCCTCTTCTGCGTTTTTTTTTTTTGAAAATTCGCCCCCAAAACGACGTCGTTTTGGAGGCGACAGGAAAAGGTGACAGGGAAGGGCGACCGAGAAAAATGCAACAGGGAAGGGCGACCGACGATCCATTCCCATTATCTATCACCTACCTATCTATGCTATTATAAAGTTAACACCTCTTATATCTATCATTTATTTATTTAAATTATTATAAAGCGAATATCTCTTATAATGTTTTGAAGTCTTTGTTTTTTATACTGTCATGTGTCTATTTGTTTATTTAAAATTAAAAAAAAATTAAATAGATAAGAGTAGGTTATGTTAAATGAACAAGATTCTTACCACTTGAGTAGCACACAATATATAATAAATATTTTATTTTATGTCTACTTTTCTATTTAAAATTAAAAAAAAAATTAAATAGATGAGAGTAGGGGACTTGAACCTTAGACTTATATCAAATAAATAAGACTGTTACCACTTGACTAGCACATAATATATAATAAATATTTTATTTTATTTTTATTTATTTGAATTACACACGCATCGCGTGTGGCAACCGCTAGTATATATATATACACATATGAGAGAGAGAGGGTTCACATATACCAGAGAGAGAAGGGGTGTAATTTTGGCCTGGTCCGACCCATTCAGGCTCGGGCCGAACCCGACTCATGTTGAGCCTTGCGGGCTCTCGCTAAAAAATCGGGTCGAGCCGGCCCACGGGTCAGAAAACTAGGCTCAAGTCTAAACCCAGGCCCGGGGGTATTCGGGCCAAGCCTTGGGTCGGGCCGGGCTTCAAAACGATGGCCCAGGCCCTGGCCCAAGGCCTCGAGTTGGGCTTGGGCCTAGACAGGCCTGTGGAAGCGCCCGAACGTCCCGGGGAAAATCACGTTTCGTTCATTTGGGCTTACCACAGTTCGGACTCAAAATGTCACGGTTTTGAATCTAATCTCACAATGTGCAATGTGAGACCGATAAATCACCAAAGAGTCCAAATCCGGCAACTCGTTTTGGAAAACTGATTTTTATAAAGAAGTGCCAAATATGGACTGTTTTGCCAGATATAGAGTCGTTACTTAAATATTTTATTTTGGAAGAATTTAGGAAACCCTGACTCGTGCCTAAGGCCACGTGTCCGTCATCACCAAAGTTGCCTTGGTTCGGGAACTTGGGTACGAGAGGGGAAGGTCATGCAATGAGAAACCCCGCTCGCCCGATCAAAGATCGACCTGTACTAAGTATGATATCTTATTTTTGAAAACACATGTGCTCTTATTTCGATCAATTAGCTAGTATTACTACGTGATGCGCTCAGCAAACAAGTATAGACTAGATTGCCTAATTTGGAACGAAGCATCACATATCCGTTTGTTTGGAAAATGGTTTGAAGTTTGCTACTCGCAAGCAGGCTAAAATGCGGATTTCAATGAATTGTCCCAATTCAAGTAATCCAGCCTTCACCCGCAGACATTCAGGTAGTTATAGCAAATAAGCAGTTAGCCTCATGACAAGCATGCTAGCATGGCAACATTAACACACATGCAGTATGCTAAAGCGTAAACACTCACAGTGTACTCCGAGCCAAAACAAAGAACTAGTTAGAAATCATGCATGATCCTAGTTCAGGTTAAAATGTCTAATGCAACGTATGCGAAAATGTACCTAAGATAGGCTCGGCTATTCTAGAATGTCATGTGAAATGTAACTTGATAACATGCTGTTAAACACGTATTCAAGTAATGTATTGAAAGTACAATGCAGTTAGTATGATGCGCCGAGCCCGATGCATGCAATACAGATGAATGGATGCACGCATGCGAGCATAAGGTATGCTAAATAAAATATGCCCTAAAACTAACCATCGTAAGCGGTTACATAAAAAAGAGAAAGAAATGGGGATTGGAAGACATGCATCACACATACGCACGCTTATTACAATAATTGGCCCTCTCGAGGGAGAGATCGAATAAGAAGCTAACTAGCTAATCTAAGTTAATTAAACTAATTATTAGAACACAATTAATTAACTAATCCTAGTTAACTAATTATTACAGAACGAATTGAATAGCTAACACATTAACTAATTAAAGTACAAACCAAAGCAAAAGCTAGCTATCTAAGCATGGCAGCTAAGGATAACAGTAAATCAGGAGGTTCTCGGAGGGAGAAAACTGGATGCATGCTCGGTCGCCTCGTTCGGAAATCCAATGCGATGCCCCGATTTGCCTCTGTTTTCATTTGTTTTCAGAAACTTGCACCAAGCTCCAGAAAGCTGAAACTTCACCTTAGGAGTCTTATGGGAGGGTGGCCGACCACTTTTGGTCTCTCTAGACAACTGCCAACCACTTTTGGTTGTTGAAAAACTAGAAAAGTGGTGGGCCAGCTAGTTTTTCTGGCTGACCGGCCAGTTGTTGCTGTTGAACTACAATTTGCTGCAACAGAGAGCAAGAAAGGGCATGGCAATGTATTTGCAAAATATGTGCATAACCACTCTCCCTATCATGTCATGAACTCAAGAGAGTGCAGGTTCTCGACCCTCGGGCCACCAATTGCGCATTTCAATGCATGATGGCCGAGAGGCGAAGTTGCATAATTCAATATGAAATGAATGTACAAGTAAACGCATAAAGCCTAAAACTCTATCATGTATGATCAAGAGCATCGGCGACCGAGAATTAAGGCACGATTCATCACTTTAAGTATGAAACGTCCCTCGTTTCCTGTGTTTGGACTAACACCTATTCCAAACACGATGCAAGCAAGGAACATGGCATGCACAATGCTATGTAATGCAACCTTAGCATGCGAACATGCAACTACATGGCATACTCAATGCAACTAGCAACCTAGCATACACAATGCAAGGCATAACATGGCATACACAATGCTAAATGCTAAGAACTAGATGGCATACTCAATGCAAGTCAATCATGAGGGTTCTTAACACAATGTAATGCATGCATGCACAATGCAATGTAACAAGGGTAACAATGTGCAATGCACCAAACATGCTACAACATGCAAACCATATACTCAATGGACTTAAACTGAAATGGACAGACCTCAGTCATGCCAAAACAGTGGCCATAATGCTAAAATGAAGGCACGAAAACACATACAAACATGCATGCCAATTGGCTCACCAACTAAGGCACTAAGGTGCAACTCTCAAGAACACTTAAAGAGTGAAAAGCATGGAAGTGTAGCAACACTAATTGCGCTGAAATTAGACAAGAAATGATGCCAAATCACTTAATCAACACAAGCATGGCATGCAATGGTCCTTAAAGCTTAAGACAAGCAAAGCGGACTACACATACATGGCACAAATGCATGAACTAAGTATGGACAGAGCTCAAGTAGGTCAAAATAAGGACCTAAACATGCTAAGATAAAGACTCAAAGGCCTAAGCATGCAAGCATACGAGCTAAGGCATAAACTAGGCAACAATGCATAACACTCAAAGGCACTTAAAGCATGATTGAGGTAGGAACATGTCAATGCTAAATGCTTTGAAATGTCATGTTACGTGATGCCAAATCATATACACAACACTAGTGAAGCATGCAATGGTGCTCAAAGCTTGAGGCAAATAAGAGCATTTGTACTATAAGTATACAAAACATGAAGCATGTGACCAAGGCAACCCAAAACAGTCCTAGAACATGTTAAAATAAGTCTAAAACATGCATGGAAAGAAGCCCAAATAGGCTAGCACGGAGGGTATAAGACATGGTGCATACAAGGCAAATAAGGCGGATTACACTACACCTATTAAGACCAAGCATGGAATGACTTGACCAATAAAAATCAGAGTTATATCATGGCATAATAACCCAAAAAATACATTGAAATGAGAGCTCGCAAGCTATGGCATGAAGACATACGCAATGGTTCATGTTAAGGCATAAAGGGGCAAACCCTCCAACGCATTGAATGAGTGACAAATTTGGATGCATGGCCATGAAGCATGGACTGAAATCACATAATAAATTATGCTAAATCATTGAAACAGTCCAAGTAATACATGCTAGAGGACTCAACACACAAAGCTAACAAGCTAGGTTGAACCATAGCTATACAAAGCAAGTCATGCATGGCCAAGACAACACAAATCAGACATTAAACATGCTAAAACATGAACACATGCTAATCAGAGCTAAGCCAAAAGCATGCTAAAATGACATGTT